GATGAGAATTGATTGAACATTCTCATAGGATGTCTACTTTTTATTTGACAAACTGCGCAGTGAGAAAAGAAGATCGATTATTAATCTTCCTTTCTTCAATTTCCATTCAACAAAGAGTACCATCCAATTTCAAAGAAAGTGAATTGATATTAGTACAATATACTTTCTTTGCCTCCCCTTTTATGATCGATCATAATGTACAAATCTTTTTTATTCAAATAAACGCCAAATTAGTTAGTCCGCTAAAAATCAGCAAATTCCATCCATTGTCAAAAATTACACGAAATTATCATTTAGAACTGAACTCTATATTGGCATTGTAGAAGAATATCATTTATTCCATCGATTTTTCACCATTGTGTGATGTTCGAGCAATAGAAAGCTACAGGTGCGTTTTCAACTCGAGCCCACCATCACATATTCTCTACCTAATAGATGTATTAACTCTGCCGTACCGACAAAAATAATATCTCCACAGCCTCTTACCGCCAAAGACACAAGTATGCATTCACCAAATGTATCACCGTTTTTGTAGAATTAACGATAAACAAAAGTCGTAGCGAATAATAAAGCGATATAGGGTGTGTTTGTTGCAATGTCGAGATAAGAATAGTTATTCTTTCTTGCTCTATTCCCTCGCTGTACTTCGTATGGATAGAGAGGAATTTTGGGTGATTATATATAACAAAATACGCACAAATAAAAAATCATCGTTAGTTCAATACATGGTGACACATGAATACTAGCAAGACGCTGTTTTCCAGATTTTGCACCTTGTTACATCCGCTTTCCTTCACTTCTTATATTTGTATGCGATATACTGCAAATATAATTTTATAAGTGATGACAACATATTATGAATACAAAGGAGAAAGAAAAGTTCAAACTGATTGGATACCAGCACAAAGAAGAAGAGATAAGTTCTGTGAAACTAAACAGATCGGAAGAGTTGCAAAAGAAAATAAGAGATTAAAAAAAAGAGGAAGAAGACTAAATATGCGCATGTCATTTCATTGACCACTTTAATCGTTGGTAGAAGATAACAAATCTGCGTGAAGTTAGTACGACAGATTGAACAATCTACATTGCATTCTTCTCTAGTATTTCACTATGGAGTGAAGTAAAGCAGAGCGGTTTTTCGTGTATGTATGCTTATGAATTCTACTTCGGTTGCTAAGACGAGACATCATCGACTTTCCTCTTGACGCTTGGCAAAAACAAAAATTCAAAAATGATTCATACTCTGAAAAATCGTTTGAATTCCTGTCTTTCTCTGCGTAATTGGAATAAAACCGTGCATGATTTTGCACTATACAAACAAACTTCGTCATGTACGCTAAACTCAATCTTTCTATAAATTCCCGTACATATTTTCGCATTCAAAACACACAAAATCATTCCATTCATCCGACATGAGTGAAAATAGTCCTCTCACAACATACCAATCTGTTCGTTATCTCGATAAAATTGTTCAAATTGAAACATGTAATCTCCATGGCATCGAATGTCTTCGTTTGGATGACGTCCGCTTACGCTTCCCTAAGGTCACATGTCTATACATCGATGACAAACAACAATCATTTCTTCACGATGAAAACGGTCATCGACTCGAACCATTACGCATTAAAGCTTGCATCGATGAAGTCATGGAAGCTTTTGAACCTGAGGAAAATCATAGTCAATGTTTACAAATCGAACATATCCAAGAAATGCAAAGAGCTCTTGTTCTTATGAACAATAGCACGCAGGAGAAAATCAAACAAGCAATGACATTAATGTACGAACTAAATGAATACACAACTCCACAATATTTCTACGTTTTACCAGTAAAGAACAATAATCAGAGTATGCTGAGTTCAATAACCAATTACTTTCAACTGGAATATAAATTATATTTTCTATGCGACTGTTCTGACGATCCAAACGAACGACATCCAGCTCCACATGACGGTTATGTGATAAAAGAGCCGACAAAATTTATTGCTGACTACGGCATACACATACGGAGAACATTGAATATTATTAAAACTGCACTTCCGATTGTCGGCCGTATTGTTGATATGCATGTACATAACGCACCAGCATTAATATCCGATGCTGCTAGGTCGTTGGACACGTTCACTCTGGTCACGAAAATCAATGAAGCTGCAAATTTATTAAATCAAGTGGAAGAAACGTCAGTGACTCCAAACACATCGAGTGAACTGAAAACGATGAGTAATTGTTTGCCATTACACGGTGCACCATTACGAGAGCTAGTCAATTATTTAGAAGGTGTGGATAATAAAAATACTCTCGGAAATTTGTACAAAAAAGTAACTGATGATGGACATGTTCGATGGGTGTGTTTAGAACACTATGATACTGATTATCACAAACAACGAATGTGTCAATACGCTCAACAATTGAAGAACTTTGGAGGAACATTTGATGAAAACACGAAAGAAGTTCGAATAACAAGTGACAACCAAACACCTTTAGAAGTTCTCAAGTTGATTAATTTATTGAAAAATGGTCTGAAAATACCAAAACTGATGATTGAAAAATGTTGTATAAAAGAAGCAGACTTAAATCAATTGTTGGATGTTTGTATCAATCAATCAGCAATTCACTTGGTTTTTACTGATGTGCAAGTATTAAACCGGTTTACTTCAAATTATATTTGTAATTCGATATCAATCTCTGTTCGAGAAGACTCCTTGGAAGTTTATTTACCCAATCGGTACACAAATGGCGATATGAAAACCGTCATTCAAGTTTTATCACAGAACAAAAATCGACGAATAATCAAAGTTCGTGGTATCGATGGATCCTTCGATTACGAAAACGATTTTACTGAAAAACTCGAGAAAAAATCGACAATTCTAATTGCAGATCATTTGAATAATATTGAAATACTCAATGAGCTCTTTTCTGCAGCAGTTTCCTTCACTCACGTCAAACTCAATTACTGTTATGGTTCGGTGAGAAACTTTATACGTCTTTGCGAATTATTATCAAAGCACGAAACGCTGATCGAACTTGATCTAGTCAACCCCACCGGTTTTGATGATGAACACGTTCTTGGTAAACTCTGCAAATCGTTTAGCAATCACAAAGCATTGAAAACGTTGAACCTGTGTATTTCAAATATATATATCGTGGAAAAAAATTGCAAAGAACGTAATTTAATTGATTTGATAACGAAAAATCCTTTTGTTAAACGTCTGCTTCTCTTCGATTCGATCGTGACAGCTGATTTTGCAAAAGCAATTATTGACAAAGTGAACAACTCGGGATCATTGAAATCTCTCGAGCTCTACAACTGTCAAATAGACGAGCAAATTCGATCAAGGCTGGAAGAGTTATGGATTGCTAATAAACTCAATCTCATTTTTGAGAGCAGACAATATTATTGCGCAGTAGCAGAGAAAATACGCGAAGTTCTTGATCAAGGTAAAGTATTTGACCAAGAAGAGGATCTCGACGTCATTGATGATCATTTGAATTTCAATGGGAAAGAATTGGGGGATAAAGATCTGATCATTTTATCAAAAAATTCAAATCGTGTCAAACAATGTAAACGAATTTCATTGTCTAACAATCAAATCACATCATTTGGAATTGTTCTCTTAACCGAGATTTTATTTGACCATCCTTTTCTAGAACAACTAGATTTGAGTTCGAACAACTTGTGTGACGGCGGTGTTTATCTATTGACTAAGATATTATCGATCAATCATAAAACGAAACTTCAATCAATTTGCCTAAAATCAAATGGAATTACTGACGAAGGAATTAAATATTTGGGTCAAATGTTAAACACGAACAAGACAGTGAGGCACTTGGATTTATCGAATAACTTCATAACGAACAATGGAGTGCAAACATTAACGCAGATAATTGGTGACAAGAAAACGGATTTCAAGTCACTTAGATTAAGTGGAAATAAGGATATAACTGATTCAAGTGTTTCTTTGTTGATTTCAATGATCAAAAAATGTTCGTCAATGGAGAGCCTGTCTTTAGTGGATTGTGAGCTAAATGAAAAAAGTAGAGACAAATTTAATGAATTGAAAATGTTGAAAAAGAATTTTTATTTGAGAATTTAAATTTCAGCGGAAATGTTTCTATGTTTTTGTCAACATATATCGATAATTTTATTTATTTTTTTATATACTTTAATAGAGATATAAAATTCATAAAGAACAGTGTGATTGTATGCATCACTTTATCTTATAACAACAAAACTGTATAATAGACTCTAAGGGCTCTTTAGACAATATAATACACGAGATATAAGAGAAATGAATGAAGCTGTTAGTACCTAAAATCAAAGCGACAAGTCATACATTTGACGATGGGCAGCAAAGTCAAAACACTGCGCAAGCCAGCAGTAAGACGAAGAATGGACAGAAAGAGAAAATCATACATGATGAGGTATTTGGAATTCATAAAATATCAAAAATGACTCTTTTTCTCTTGTTCGAATCTAACCTATGCTGTTAAGAAGATCTTGCCAGATGATTATTGATCGCTTATACCAAACAACACATGGAACCGTTGAGATGGATCCAATCCTTTTCCTCATTAGTTATTGAGGAATGCGTTACTTTACTCTTTTAGCATAAGTTTTCTGTCATGTTCTACTGTGTGAGTACAGTGAGATTTTGTTGACGATGTTCACACGCACAGAAAACAATTAACAAAACATTTTCTTGTTATGATCAATAAAAATAGCAATTATTTTCTAGACACAGGTTCCCTCCATCTTTCTCTTGTCAAATACAGAAGCACCTGACGAAGAGAAAGTAGCCATTGATACGAAATATATAATTATGTCAATAAAATTATACGAACAACAACAATTCGATAAGTAATAAATATTCACCTTTTTCGCACGGTAGTCATCCTCGAGGTGCTCGCGTTTGTCAATCTATCAAAAATAATGAAAAGCAACATTATCTGAAGGTATATGTGAATTAACATTTGTTTTTTGTATATCCTATGTAAACACCAGACGAACGATAAACGTGACCAGACGCGATGAGTGTTTAAGCCGTATCCAAATGTAACTGAAATACGTTTAGACGCGGCTTAACACATTTGAGATGCGTCTCCAATTCTCTAAAAATGCGCTTGCTTTTGGTAGCTTCGTCTAAGTTACGCTCCAAATAATAACTACTGATTCTCTGTCTTTCTAAATAGCAAAGCAGTTTGCTTTATGTAAAGACGTTCTCAACGATTATTTAATATATGTTCTTCAAACCAAATCTCCTAAATCAGTTGAATGTCATTGATTATCAATATCTGCCTGATCAGAATCTCATTCAGTATTTTTTTTTTATCGTAAATGAAATCTCAAATAGAAATAGAAAAAGAAATAAAATCCAGATCCTAACCCTCATCCCTCAAATTATTGAAAGTATCGAAAATATATCGTGCAGTTAGTTTTGAACTGCGCCTAGGTGCTCCGACTGCTTCACCTGGGACGCGATTCAAACGCGTTTAGCCCCAGAAATGTTTACATGGGATATACTCTGATGACGGATAGAAAACGAGATATTTGTTCGATAATTTTTATATCTAGAAAATCAGTATGAACAAGAAGTGCTTTCATCGATAATTTGCGATATACGATGATGATGAGAATACTGTTTAGGATTGAAATTCTATTTGTAATCAACATATTTCTCTGAATAAAGGTGATATCCTTTCACCTCTCGACTGTTCCTGTTGACCTGCGTCATGTTACAAAAAGTAAAATATTTTGATAATGAGATACGCATCGAAGGGCCAACTATACATCACGGTAGAAGACAACAACGACTGATAGATGGTTTTCATAATAGTCATGTTGCTTTATAATAGCGTTTTTTATCATAATTTCACCCTTCGAAAATATATAAGTACCAGTTTGATTTTATCATATCAATATATTAAAAAATATTGATGCGCAACACAGGTGAGTAAAATGTCATTAGATTAAACAAGGACTATACTATCGAGAAACGCAAGACGCAGTGAAGTGAACAAGTGATGTGATAAACATCACTTAGAGAAGATTAAGTAAATCCTAATATCTCTATTTCTTATTCTCAGTGAATGGTCTGTGAATACAAACGCATTTGATCTTGATACTCGTCCAACTTGAACAAGAGTGTAATTGATTCATTTTTTCTAGAGTAAAACTTGAGTACACTTACATTCTTTGCTTGTGATGAAGAACGTAAACTCGGAGCAAACTGAATCTGATGGGTTCACTTCTTGGTAAGTGCAATCTTGTTCATAAGAACAAATACAAGAATTTTTGTTTCGTAGGATTCGAAGTCATTTGTTGAGCATTACACTTATTGTCATCGGATGCATCTTATTGGCCATCGCCATCACATTGATTCCATCGTTGATTGCATTGTATCTTCCTGACCACTCTGTTGCAGTGATCAAATCTAATCAGGACTGTAAGTTAATATTTGTGGATATTGATCATTCTTATTCTTTCGTTTCTGTCATAGATACTGATCCATGGGCACTACAGTATCGAACAAGCTTGGCTAGTGCGCATCAGATTTCAACTCGTGCTATTCCTTCACCATTCGACAAATCAATGTTGGGAAGAGCAGTAAGTGAACTGTTTTAGAATGAATTTCATATCGAGCATCTCTTTTCTTAGTTTGACGCTTTGACAAAGCTACCTTCGGGCACAATATCAATCCAACTAGTTACCATATCTTTTTTAACTAAACGCTCAGCCGATCGTGTTCGTCGTCAGTGAGTGGAGATATGGATTTAACATGAAAACATGTAGCGCACTCTTGTTTTTTGTTTGCAGAGACACAACAGCATCAGCATCTTCAGATGCTTATATCAATGTGGTTTTACAAGCTAAATATCCACGTCATTGTTCTCATGTTCTGTCATGTCAAATGTTATTTAGAAAACAGGCTTTGTCTGCATTTTCGAATTCGAAAAACTTTATTTTACCTTTTCCATTACTGAATGGGCGCACTGTTGATGTTTCCGTTGAACTCGTGAGCTTGACAGAGAATTATGGTGAGTGTGAAGATGTGATTGTCTTTTAGTTGTTTGGTCCTTCAGTGATCGAGAATGACTAGAGAATTCCATACTGTGATCATAGTTCAGAGAGATTGATTTTGTCAGACTTATGAGAATAAAAGTAGAAATATTCGTCGTTGTTTGAATTTAGTGTCAGGCTCTGATTTTGTACTGATTGCACAGACTCTGGATTACTCCGTAGCATGAACTGCTATTTTAGCTTTTGAAATGTAAGGTGTGAAAAGATTATGTTCATTTGAGAAAATCTACGGAGAATCAATCCAAGCTGTCCGTTGACACTGTGAGTTGAAAATAGTGATCGTGAAGGTAAAAAATGAATGAACCATTGTTGATCGTTAAGCACTGTCGGACAACAAATTCATGAATTATTGAATGAATATTTGAAGTTCAACAATGAAATATTTTAGTGTTGCCAGCAGCTGATGTATCGACAACTTCATCAATTATGACAGCTACTACCACCAGCACCAGCACCAGCACTAGCAGCACCAGCACCAGCACCAGCACCAGTACTAGCAGCACCAGCACCAGCACTAGCAGCACCAGCACCAGCACCAGCACCAGTACTAGCAGCACCAGCACCAGCACCAGCACTAGCACCAGCACCAGCACCAGCACCAGTACTAGCAGCACCAGCACCAGCACCAGCACCAGCACTAGCAGCACCAGCACCAGCACTAGCAGTACCAGCACTAGCAGCACCAGTACTAGTACAACTACCACTGGTGAGTCACGCATATAATTTACAATGTTAGAGCAAGAAATCAGACGTTCATTCATACTATTTTTTTAAATTCGATGTATTCCTAGTCACTGTAACAGTGATTTTGTACATCAAAACCTCAACAGATGGTTGTCTTTGCTAAGGTATTGAAGCAAGTGTGCCAGTCTATCATAAAATTAATAGGAGCTATACAGCATGGTCTATATCAAGATACGCATCACATCGTGTTGCACACGAGTGTAGCATTTCTTCATAAGCCATTGAAGTATTTTATGTTGGGAACTCGTCACCCACATTGACCGCGCTTCGCGAAAACATATTTTGTTTTCGCGAAGGCGCTTTGTGGGCAACCTTGGAATATTTTTTTATCTATCTACTTGAGTATACAATCTATAACCGATTTACTTTTACTGACTGTTATGTAATAATACAGCATGCGTTTGAATAGATGAGCGAACAGTAGACCACAGTATAATCGTGAGCACTTTTCGGTGTGCATTTCAGTTTATAAAGAATATAGAGATGATTTAGAGGATTTACGTAAAAAAATTACTTGAAATTGTATTATTAGTGTATAATTGATATCTTTCATTTCAGGTATGACCGGATGGATTCTGTATGCACATAATGCAACTGTTAACGATCCTCCATGTCCCATACTTGGAAGCGGTAATAGTGCTAGTCTCGCGACTTGTCAAGCGGCATGTGAAGCACAACCCGCTTGCAATGGAATGAATTATAGTCCAACGGCACCAGGTTGCTATCTTCGCCAATGTCCTAATTATTCGCCAGCAACAAACATTGATTCACAATATAATGTGTGGTTAAAACTACCTCCAGGTACGTCCGTATATTTCATTATGATGTTGCACATATAGCTACTATTTTCGCGAGCTATAGTGTCAATAGTCTTTTTATATTTCAAAGTGGGTTTTGAGGGAAAACGATTTTCATATATAGTTACAATGCGGTAACGTTTACTTCGCAAAGATATTCTTATTTTACACCAGGCATACATTATATTGAAAATGATGATGCTGATATAACGAAATATTTTCTGTAAGTATCACGTCGCCGCTTTCTGAAGATGAAAAGCTGTGGTACATAAAGAAAGCTACGAAATGCACTAAAGCTTCAGTTGTAATATCGATCTACGTGAGAATTAGAAAGAGTTAGGGCGAATTTATTGTCACAAAAACTCTTGAAAGATTGTATTCAACTTGAAAATGTCTTCCCTGCCGAAATCTCGTGTCTTACCTGAATTGTGCCTGTTCGAATATACTTAGACTGGCCTTCCACCGCAATGAAATAAGTGAACGCATTAGAAAGCATTCCATTTATTTTATTTTAGCCTCAAATCAATGGACTCTTTATGCTTATAATAAAACTCTACCTGATTCATCATGTCCCAATGTCGGAAGCGGTAATGGTTCTAGTATAGTGGCCTGTCAAACATCATGCGACGCACAATCCACATGTAATGGGATCAATTTTAGCCCGTCGTATTGTTATTTTCGTCAATGTAATAGTTCTTCACCAATAGCTAACGTTTATTCAGGATTTAGTGTGTGGCTAAAAATATAAAAATACATTTGAGTTAGTCCATGTACGTTATATCGATTTAACTCATTTCATGCATTTAAAACTTGATTATCTTTTTGAAATTTTTCTTTCGCACTTTATCTCTGCATTTGTAAAACACGATCGGATGAGAGCATTGTACCGTTTGATGTTTTAAAAAATTTTTCTTTTAACTACAAATCTTCATCTTAATGAAATTCGATTATTTTCGCGCAAATCAGTAAAATCATACACAAAAATGACTCAACCAAATATCCGACATGAATGAAGAAACCCGGTAACAATTAAGAAATATTTACATCGAAAGCACTACACAGTAAACCGCTGTAAAACATAGAATTCATCGATTTTACACGGATTTATTCTGAAACTCACATTCCCATGGTGGAAACAATGGTGTTGGAAATGCAATGAATCAATTGTAGTTGACAGCAGGGGAGCCGTGTATATAACCGATAGAGGTTTCATCCGTATCCTACGTGGTTTCACAAATGTATTTCATAGGTGATACTTTCACTCGGCATGGTGCTCCATTTGTCTTTCGTTACAATACGATATTTCAGTTGTTGAATATGAACACACAGAATCTTCTTGTTCATACAGATCATTTCTATCTTGTTTGGATATAAGAGAAAAACAGTCAGGTTTAATCTATCTTCACTTGTTGTGTTTTTCTATAGTATTTATTCTTTTATCACTTCTTCAATTGCCCTTTAATAGATATATAGAAAACTGCGTGATTAGAACTTTTCATTGTTTCAATGTTTGTTGTAATTTCCCGAATTGAATTGTTAAATCTTCAATAGTCTTTTGAAAAGGAGTATATGTCACACCTAGATCTTGTTTTGCTTTTGAGCTATCGATGATGTAGAAATCAGGTAATTGATAATCTTTCGAACCAACCGGTGTTGTTTGTTTGATATTTTCAGGAACAAGTGAACTTTGATGAACAATATCAGCGATTTGTTGTTGAGTCCAATTTTGATCATTTGCAATTAAGTATCGTTGATTCGAATCGGTCATTTTCTCCAAAGCAGCCACATGAGTAAAGGCCACATCTCGCACATCGACTTGTTTTGGTACGCGAGTGTCTGGGATTGATGCATCTTTTCCACTGGTAACTAATGACCAAATCAAAGCATTTGATTGATGAATATCATCAATTGTTTGAAAGTCTCGAACTGATGGACCATAGACCATGGGTTCACATATAGTTGCAATTGTAAATGCAGGTTTCTTCTGTTCGATGAAATTCCATGCTGCTTGTTCAGCACAGACTTTTGATGCCCGATATGCTGTCATTGGATCATCTTTGGCAGCAGCACCTTGTTCATAAGTGATTGGTGACCAATCCTTTTCTGTGTAAACATAACCAGGTCGAGGACCTTTGCTGGGATCGATGACCGCAGCAAATGACGAAGTGATGACGATTCGTTTGATTTTGTTTTCATTGTTTTGATTGAACTCATGTGCAGCTTGTAAAACTCGAGTGGTTCCATTGATTGCTGGAAGAAGTAAATCTTTTTCTGGATCAGTGACCTTGAAATGGAATGGTGAAGCAACATGTATGATTCCATCAACATCACGAACAGCTTCATCGAACGGATCACTTGTAATATCAGCAACATGAACAAATGACATTTGTTTTCGATATTCTTCTGCGATTCCATCGAGAACTTGTTTTTCTTTTGCTGCAGATCGAACTGTTCCACGAACGTTGTAACCTTTCTCAAGTAGATATTGTATAATCCATCCAGCAATGAATGAACTGGCACCGGTGACAAGAATAGTTTTGGTCATAATGATAATTTCCGATCTAAAAGAGTCGAGAAAGCACGATGATTTTTTATACTATGTCGGTAATATAAGGTTTGTGTTCGAATCGAACGATGTCGAATGGACGTTTATTACGATAAGATAACATACCATATCTAGGCGTGTATTGACTTTTTTCTTTTCTCTTTTTGAGTCAAACAAGTAGTCCTTCATATTCTAGACGGATTGTTTTCTACTGACATCTGCACTTTTGTTTAGACAAATGAAACGGCAAAAATCAATTCAATGAATTTGTTAGTAGGAAAGTTTATAAAAGAACGATATGAAATGGATGTTATCAAAGTATTCGTTGTATCTGTATCGTGACGAGAATGTACATGACGAAGAAACAAAAGTAGAATGTTATATGTGTATATAAAAACGAGTGAAACACGTCAATATTCTTTTCGCGATTGTCTACAACGAAGCACACATGTACACTTCGCCACATTAAGTATGGGTAGTTGTTGTTGCTTTCGATTTAATCTGTCTAACATCCTCTTCATATATTTCGATATGATACAAGAGAGTAATGATAGATTATACAAAATAATTTGCATAAAATACAGATCGGAATGAGGAGGATGAACAATCCAACTGACGAAACTTATCTAGTCATCGATATTTGTCGAGAAAAGGAAGTGAGTGTTTCAAATTTTGACCTGCAAGGCGCTATGTTGACAAACTATTCGTGCTTCTTTTGTCTTGATAAACGTCCCAAGACGAGATCAAGTGGATGAAGTATCAATCACTTCAAATACAGCGAATCATCGTTTGCCATTACGTCGTGCATTATCACAACAATTCATCAATTACTTAAAAGATGTGTTGTGCAGAGGTAGAAAGAAAAACAACTGATTTTTAAAAATGATTATCACGAATAACAAATATGTCGATATGATTAGCAATTAAAAACCTAGGAGAAGCATTCGATGACAAGATTACATTGAATTCATTCATTTTCACTCAAGACTTTTTTGTTATATTGAAAACAGACGGAATGCAGTCGAAAAAGAACTATACTTTCGCCTGTTTTACTTCAAAGTAACATCACACTTTATACAAAAAAACAACAATTCTTCATTTTCACTATGAATCGAAGAAAAGAAAAGCAATGTTCTCACTTGGCAATTGACGATTTATTTTGTAATTCTGAAAAACTACAGACGAAAAATATCCATAAATAAAACACGCCAATTTTGTTCACTTCTATAGAATTGTACAAGTTTACATAGCAAAAACTCTGCTAGTAGGTTGCTAACCAAACACAAGCCATTTATAAACTGTTTTAATCTAATACAATTGAACATGAAAAGGAAGAAATTGACTTGAAAATAATCGACAAACGAATTGAAAACGCTTATAGTGATATGAAATGGCTTCTTATTCATTAAATTTTCATTATTTGATGATGATCGATGTTTGATTAGAGTAAAACCATAAGAAAACGAAAAGATTTTTTTTTCATCAAGACAACCCAACAAGTAACATGCTTCTCTACACTTAACCGTTTGTGATGACAAAGTATAGTATTGCACATGTTCGATATTGACTTTGGTTGATCTTTTAATACTTTCAGAACCATTCTCATCTCTCACTGATTCTTTGGTTATTATATTCTTTTTCGATATTTTTTGAGAATATGTGTATAGAAAAAATAGTAGGTTTACCACTCTTTCTGATGCTGAATGAAGAATTCTTTGTATTGATAGAACATATGATGACAAGAATTGACATCAATATCCGTCTATACTTTTCAATGATCTATTATGAAGAATGACATTTGAAAAGTTTTTCTATTCCTTTGTAAATTTCACCATAAATGACATACTTTTCGTGTTTGTCTGTTAAATAACTTTAGATTCTATAGATTAATTTCTTTCCTAATATTTGCTAATCAATATTGAATGATAGTTGATGAAATTTCGAAAAGAATCTATTTCAAATGTGCTCAGATGGCATTCTCATCTTTATTTTCCTTCAATTCTTTTTTTTCGATCGATTTCTCATTCATTCGCATAAGAAAATGTAATGATCATTTGAATCTGTTTGATTCTCTTCTCAACAACAGTTGCCAACGACGCCAGTTTAAAGGAACAGAATGACCTACCTCTTTTGTTTTGAGAGTGAATAGCAACGATTGATGTTTCTTTTCAAAAAATAAATAAAACGAACGAAAAAAGTAAGACATTATAATTTGTTATAAAAATGAAAAGAGATTTCAAATCAAATGAGAAATAATTTTCATATTTCTTTTTAGAAATTTATGAATAAGAAATGAAAAGACGATTAATGTCAATAAATCAAATTCATTACCGAAAATTATTTCTTTGTTTCTTTACAATTGTATTTCTTTATTGTTTAGTTCATTTAATTGAAACAGGTCGATTTTTAATCGATCATTTCATTCCAAATGAAGATTTTGATGATTTAGTCAAAATAGATATTGAAATGTGGCAAAATAATCGTTCATTAATTCGACAAGAAATTCCACGACATATTCATCAAATTTGGATTTCATCATCGGAAAAGAAATCAATGAATGACAAATATCTTTTAGCATCGAAATCATGTCAAACATTGAATTCTAATTATAATTATACACTTTGGACAAATGAAAAACTTCTAAATTTCTTAAACACTGAATATCCATGGTTTGTATCAGTTTATGAAAATTATCGATATGATATGCAAAGAATTGATTCAATGAAATATTTTTTATTATTTCATTATGGTGGAATTTATATTGATTTAGATGTTAAATGTCTTGTAAATGATTTAATTTCGAAAATACTTTATGAAAATGAACAAAAAACGAATGAACCTGATATTATTTTACATATTGGAACAGAAGGAATAAGCGCAAATACAGATTTTATGATTTCAAAACGATATCATCCGTTTTTTAAATTTGCAATAAGTCGATTAAAATCAGCTAATCGTTGGTTTTATTTGTATCATTTAACAATTATTTTAAGTGCTGGTCCAACGTTTCTCTATGGAATTTATCGAAAATTTCCTTTGAAAGATCAATTTTATTTTATTCCAAATGATTTTTTATGGGGAAAATTAATTGATGGTGTTGGTGGGGGAAGTTGGTATGGAAAAGATACATTAGTTCTCCTTTTTGTTATGCAACATTATTTGATTTGCTCTATTTTTATCTTTCTTTTACTTTTTTCTTTTATTTTTGTTCGTCAAATGAAAAAGATTTGATTTTGGAAAGAAACGCCCGAATCGATATTTTCCATTAAATAGTTTTAAGTAAAATAATTGAATTCATGACCTCATCATTAGGATGAATTTCCATAACGGTTTCAAATTGTTCTTGAATTCTTTGATGAAGAGGAAGATAAAGAATTTGTCTTGTTCCATGACTTGATCGTGTTAAAATAAATGTTCCAGGTGTTGTTTGACTTTTAATCGTATCAAATATTTTTTGTTTTTCTTCGAAAACAAGTCCAGCTAATGCAGCAACATAGATTAAAGAATATTCTTGATAATTTTCAAAACTTTCACCTGAACTTTGAATTAAAGTTATTTGATTTTGTAAGCCAAGAGCAAAAACAAGTTTTCTTGCTAAATCAGTTGCTTCTTCATCAATATCCATGACAACTGAACAGATATGATATTGTTGTGCTAAAATAATAGCTGATAATGGAATTGGTCCACCCCCAATAATAAGAACTTTTTTTGTTAAAAATTCTTTTGCATAAATTTCTATGGAATTCCATTCACGTTTCATGACTTTCAGATAATTATCCCATTGAGGAAATTGTTCTAAAATCAATTGATGATTTGAATGATTAAGAATTTTATGAGCCCAAAATTTTTCAAGTTCATAAACTGATTGACTGAAACGTTGACGAAGTTGGATAATTTCTTGTTCAGTTAGATCAGATTTATTCAGATCATCGTCATTGGATTGAGAAATTTGTTGTCGTAATGAATCAATCGCTTCATTTACTTGATCAGATGGAGTTAAACTTGGTAAAGACATTATTTTATTATAGATTTCACGCCATTTGGTTGATGTACTCATTTTGAATTGATTTTCTACAGAGAAATAAAACAAGAATGTTTGTTTTCTTCATTTCGTAACTGTCGAATGTGAATTAGACAAAGCATTCGATGATGATTATGTACAAAATCTGTTAATGAAGCGATGAACTTACAAGAAATAGAAGAATGTGTTGTATTAAATAGTTGATCAGAAAACTGCTACAACGAAAGTGAAGAGAATGATATTTTGATTAGCTTGAGATTGTGTTGGAGAACGAAAAACAAAAACAAAACATTGTATTCGTTTACTTATTTATATGACACGTTTTGTGTCATTTCGTCGCAATAATATCGTTACTTTCCCGCTGTTTATCTCTTTTTTTGCTCTGAGTGTAGGTGTGTGTTTTGCAACGATTATTGTTCGTTTTTGTTTTGTATTGAAAGAGAATCGAATGATGTAATGATGTTTTTTCAAATATGTAAATTTGTTTTCTCTATGCATAGAACTACGAATTCTAAGGTTAAATATTGAAATCAAATGGAGAAGATGACTTTGGAAGAATTGTTTGAGAAAGTTTCGATGAAACTGCGTGAACCTATTTCCAATGTTCAGTCACTCTTCGAATGGAAAACACAAATGTTGACATATATCAACACTATCGCTGATCTCAAATGTCCTATTTCATCCTCAACAGTTCAGAAGAATTCTTCTCTTGATCCTTCTGATTGGCCATCTGCACGCAAAACAGCTCACGAAGTTCTTGATTCATCACTGGATTACATTGAATCGATACGAGATCGACCTGCATTTATACCAATTCCAGATGATGTGTGGACTGTACTCAACGATGATCCACTTCCAAAACGAGGCCAATCATTGGAACAAGTATGTCGCGATACATTCACTTATGTGGTCCCTTATACATTTGGTAATGCACATCCTCGTTTCTTGGGATGGGTCGGTGGTGAAGGAACATTAGGTGGCGCATTAGCAGATATGATAGCAGCAACGATTAATATGAGTTGTGGTGGTTTTTGTCACAGTGGTTCACTTATTGAACGTACAGTGATCAATTGGATACGACAGATGTTTGGTTTTCCAGAGGCTAAGAATGCTGGTTTGATCGTTAGTGGAACATCAATGGCAACATTAATAAGTATAGCAACGGCTCGACGAAAGGCTCTAGGAAATATTCGACAAGATGGACATGTCAATGGTCCACAACTAGTTGGCTATGCATCAACAGAAACACATGGATGTCTGGTCAAAGCATTTGAACTGCTTGGACTTGGATCAAAAGCATTGCATTTGATAGCAGTTGATGATGACTTTCGTATGAAAATCGATGAATTGAAAGTAGCCATGCAAGAAGATCGTGAGAAAGGTCTTGTTCCCTTTTGTATTGTTGGTAATGCAGGTAAATAGAATAATGAGAGAGAGAGAGACAATGTTGTATTGTTAATTATTTCTGCATGATCTAGGGACAGTGAATACAGCTGCATTTGACAATCTGGTTGAGTTATCTGTCATCTGTCGTGCTAAAAATATTTGGTTTCATGTTGATGGAGCATTTGGTAGTTTAGTTATTCTTGATCGTGAACGTCGTCATCTCGTCAAGGGAATCGAACGAGCTGATTCACTTGCCTTCGATCTTCACAAATGGTTACATTGCCCATATGATGCAGGTTGTGTCCTCATTCGAGAAAGCTCTCATCTTCAATCGACATTCGCCGTTCATCAAACTTATTTGACAAAGACGATCCGAGATTTTGCGCCTGATGATCTGTGGTTTTGTGACCTAGGTCCTGAGTTGTCTCGTTCATTTCGTGCATTGAAAGTGTGGTTCACATTTAAAGAACATGGTATTGAGAAACTTGGACAGAAGATCGCAGACAATTGTGAACAAGCACAATACTTTGCTCGATTACTTGAGAAACATGCAGATATCATTCATGTTCTTCGTCCTATCACATTGAACATTGTTAATTTTCGAGTTATACCAAAAGAACTGGATGGAGATGATCATGAAGTCATTGATCAGTTCAATGCTGATCTAACACAAGATGTGCAAATGTCAGGTGTGGCTATTCCATCAACGAGTCGTATTGGAAATCGTCTCCACATTCGTATTTGTGTTGTCAGTCATCGATGTGTTTATGAAGATTTTGATTCATTGGCCGAAAGTCTTCTCAAGCTAACTCAACAACGAATTGCCAAAATGAAAGAAGCAAAAAATTCGAAATAACTTCAAAAGCAGTTGTGTTGATAAAACTTGTAACGAATATCATTGATGCATATTGACTGAAATTCTTCGTGTAACTATATATTCGAGTGTTTCAGTGTCTTTCCGTCAACTCTTTTTGATTTCATCTAAGAAGGTGAGTGAGATTTACTTATGATCGTTGATAATATATTTTTGATGATAGAATAAAAACGCAGAAGATTGACATTGGTGGAATAAACGGAAAGAAATAAGCAAATGAATATAATGATTATTGACGAGCAGATGTCCTACACATCGAAATGTAAATGACATAGTAATATGAGATAATGCACAGAGAGTCAACGCAAAAGCACTAAGAATGAGATGTTCATGTTCATTGAGTTCGATACAAAAGTATGGCCAATAACTTCGATTCTTCGAAGGGTGAGACTAACGGACGGTATTTGAAAATATGACTTGTGCCTAATCTAGAATCATATTACACTACGTCTAATTGTACTGTAACGACCTTTATCTCTTTATTTTGTTCTCATCTTCCTTTCAACCCAATTTCGCTTAATGTATTACGAGTGAAGCAAAGGACATTCGTTTGCGTATTCGCAATAAAATACCATATTTCGATCATTCTAGCTTAATCCTTTAGCATTACTGTACATGCCAATATTTTTTTGCTATTTTACATATTGATATTTATTTAAACCTATTCTCTCGTTCTATATACGTATATCAGATATCTGCTTTTTTGTCCGTTTAAAATATACTTAAAACATGGGCTGCTGTCTAACACTACTACTCTTAATTTTTATTCTTGTTGTATCAACAATTAGTTATACAAAAACGATTGATTACAACATTCGGGGAACTATTGAGCCTGGCTGGGAATTTATCTATGATCTTTTTCAAGATAATTTCGTTGAACATCGAGATATAGGAGCATCAGTAGCAGTGTATCATCAAGGTGAATTAGTAGTTGGCCTATCAGGTGGATGGTTTGATCAATCACAAACAAAACCGTATGATGAGAATACATTACAATTAGTGTTTTCAACAACAAAAGGAGTTGTTGCTGCAGCTGTGGCACTTGCTGTTCAACGTGGTCTACTTAATTATTCAGCATTAGTCACTGACTATTGGCCTGAATACGGACAAAATGGAAAAGAGAATACAACTGTAAGTGATATTCTTTCTCATCGTGCTGGACTACCAGATATTACTGTGCCACTTGAAGAATATCTTAATTGGACAGCAATAATACACACATTGGAACAAAAATCACCTTCTTGGGCGCCTGGATCAGCTCATAGTTATCATTCGCTAACATATGGTTGGCTTGCTGGTGAACTTATTCGACGTGTTGATTCAAAGAAACGATCATTGGGGCAGTTTGTTCAAGATGAAATTTCAACTCTATCAAATCTTGAATTTTATATTGGTTTACCATCAACTGAAGAATATCGCGTGTCACCACATGAATTTAGTCAACTATCTCAATATCTCAATGATGAATCATTAAATACTGTTTTCGATTACTTCAATGATGCTCGTTTACATCAAGCAGAAGTACCAGGTGGAAATGGAATATCAAATGCTTGGTCAATAGCACGACTTTATTCATTATTGATTGGTGATGTTGATAATGGAAAATATAAACGAATATTAAATGAAGATATTCTGAAATTAGCGACGAAATTGAATACACCAGATGGAGAATTGGATCTACTTTTACAAACACAGTCATCATTTGGAATGGGTTTTATGCTTTTTGATAAAACATATCCTGAATTAGGACCAGGGAGTTTTGGTCATCTAGGTAACTAAAATCTTCATATTTTTTTAAAATAAATATATCATATTTTTATACTATCGCAGGAGCAGGTGGAAGTGTTGGTTTGGCTGCACCATTATACAACTTCTCCTTTGCTTATGTTATGAATCGAATGGTAGGAACAGTATTAGATGCTAATAAACGTTTTGAACCAATGCTTACAAAAATTGTTGATATTCTCAATAAATAAAAACTATCATACAAGAGAAATAACTGTGGTTGTTGTAATTTTACATAAGAAAATGACTATTTGTATCATTGTGGGACAGTAGTGTCAAACTTGAAAGTTGAATTCAAGTATTCAAATATTCGAAAATCCATTGTTTTGGTACCCACACATACCTTCAAGAATTACAGAATTAGCACAGAAAGAGAAAAGATGTGAATTTGTCGATAAGAGCGTTTAGAAGGCCTTCGGTTCTCTTCTCTATCGGCCTTTTTAGTCGGCCGTCTTCGCTACCGATTTTCGCCATCTAGGGAACCGTGCTGCTAGCAGGCGCGTGGTTCACTTTCTTCCTTATGCATATGCATAGAAGCAGACAGTGGAACCCAACGCACCTACACATCTGACATTAACGTTTCTGTGACCATACTTTATTTTACTCAATTTAAGAGAAACCCGGCTCGCCATAGAAAACATCGCAAAAAGTTATTCCTAACATTCTCATATTTGTTTTACCCAAAAAAAAACAGACAACTCACCCACACCCAACACCATCATACCACAATATCCACCCCACACCCTCACCCGCAGAAGAATTATAAATCAGATGTTGCTGTTTTATATTTTGAGACTCAAAGGGTTAAGTACAATAATTGTTACTTCGGCGGACAGTCATAGACTGTATTTTATGTTGACAAAATTTAAAGAAAAAAAATTGGAAGATAATCTTTACTGCTACACTTTGCTTCTTTTCTTTTCTTTTACATTATTATTTAACCCTTAGGAGACGAGTATCTTTTAAAAAACAATTAAGCCTTTCACTAACGCTCCTGCTCTATATTAGAAGCTTTTATTAAAACGTTTAATCTGATGCTCATACTAAAATCCTCTTTCCTTTTGACATGTTTTTAAACGTTTTTTTAAGAATCCTTGCCAGATTTTTTCCGAATGCAGTTTGGAAGATAAAAAAAGTTTAAGAAATATTCTAGGTCGTATATATACCACGCCCGTGCCCAAACAGTTAATTAAAGTTCGAAGTTTCTAGAAAAACTAGGTGTCCACTTTATTCGAAGAAAATAAATTATACAATTATGTCATTAAGTTACATTGGCCAGCAAATAACAATCTATGGCGGTTTTTGTTTTCTTGTCACAGGAACCGTCGGTAATGTAATAAATATTTTCATATTTTCAACTGTTCGTTCATATCGCACAAATCCGTCAACATTTTATTTTCTTATTAATTCAGTTTTTAACATTGCTTATCTTTTCATTAATCTTGCTTCGCGTATTGTAATAGGTTTTGGAAATGATTTGACAAGAACATCAACAAGTTGGTGTAAAGCACGAAACTATTTTCTCTATACTTTTTCTATAATTGTATTAATGTGTCCATGTATGGCTATGATTGATCAATTTTTAATAACATCACGAAGTGCAAAATTACGTCGTTTAAGCAAGATTCAAACGGCACATCGGTCAGTTGTTGCTATGATAATTATTTGTGTTCTTCATGGAATTCTTCCGGCAATGTCTTACGATATTTCATCTGTAACAAAAACATGCCAAGTCATCAATCAAATCTTTATCACATATAGATCAATATTCCTTTTGGGCTTATTGACGACAATTCCAATTACAATAACAACCTTATTTGCATATTTAACTTGTCGTAATATTCGCTCAATCAGAGTTCTGATAAGTCAACATATTGATCAACAAATAATGCGAATGTCATTGGCTCAAGTCTTTTTTGTTAATTTTTGCATAATTCCATATGCAATTATTGTCACATATAATTATATCACAGAAAACGAAACGAAAAGTACAATTCGAATTGTGCGTGAACAGCTAGCCACTTCATTCTTTACTTTGTGGAATTATGGTTATTATGTGGTAGGATATTGTTTTTGATGAACTTCGATAAATAGATTTTCTGTTGTAGGGAACTTGTTATGTGTTTATGCTTTCATCACAAAAATTTCGTCGAACAGTGAAAGATAGAATTTTCTTTTGGCGACGACGAAATCAAGTCAATATATTTGCATTGTCAAAGCGTAATGCAGATTTATAGAGGCAGACCATAAATTAATAGTGGCTTTATTCTCTATGTTCTGTGTCTCTAATTTCAATGTATTCCTATCTCATACATCGTTTTTTTTCTACTATATGAGAGATATTTATCTTCAGTGACGGATATAATGTCTATAAAGAATGAGAATGTTAATAAATATCATAGACATAAGAGACCGCATCAACCAATCCTTCCAGGCTCGAAGTAGAAAAGCGATAATAAATATGACTATATAGTAATTAGAGAGACCGTTTTATTTTTTATACTTATATATTAAGTTTTCTCACAGTTAAAAATTATGAAGTGTTTTTTATTTGCTATTTTCTATGTACTTTTTCAAATGAAGCAGTATAAATTCTATGAGGGTGCACTAACTACATCATTTCTCTCCCTTTCCGTAACACGTGACTTTACAAGAAGATTCATAGTAGTTACTATTTTTGTCTTATATATTCGCTAGTCTGTAAGGATAGAGTCTAGAGACGATAATCGTCAGTATTTCGGCTGTTAGCGGCTCTCTTTCGCGAGAGTGACTCCGGTTTATTCTATATCCATAAAACGTACACACATACATATATAGAGAGATAGAGATAAGAAAAAAAAAGCTGCGCTATCAATCGTCTAGACTTTGTAGCGATAGTTCGCAAAAAATTTCCTCTCGAACTTTTGTAACACCCTGTACAACTAGTAACGCTCGTCGAAGCAGACTCGCTATGCCCTCAACTGAACCACTGACTGAAAATAAAAGAGTCTTATGTGCGTTTTATACAGAAAAAAGACAGAAGTATGACCTTTGAAAGGGTCCCCAGAGACTGATCTTCATTCGCCTCATAGTCTTCAAAAGAGTCAAAGGACTACTTGTGTTGCTTTTAATTATTCTATATTCCTGACTGACAATTACTCTTCACATGAAGCAGAAGTTCGCTATAAATGACTATTATCGATTTGCACCCTTAAACATGTCCTCCTTTTTCCAGAAGAAAGATAATTTCGGTAAGACCAAATGAGACTCTGTATATACTTCGCATTCGAACGTGTCCGATTATTGATACTTTAGTAACTGACTAGATTACCACGCGCAGCCCGTTGTTAGTGGCGCCACTCACAACTCGCTGCTTCAAAGCTGTCCCTATCTATCATATAATTACCCGTGTGCTACTAAAAAGTATCGAAAATCAATTAGCATTCCATCAGTATCTCATAGATAAAATTATCCCCGTGGGAACATTTGAGGTTATCTCCTTAATTAAAAAGCTTAAAGGCCTACAAAAACTCTCAATATATCGAAGCTCAGCGTTTAAGATTGCTCTCCAGTATGTAACATGTGAATGAACGTATTTTTGGATTATTGGCCTTTAGTATGCGACATTCAACCGAGTGTGTTTCTACTTTTTCGCAATCAACTCTTCTATGTAGTCCTCCTCTCAGGCGCGGATGAAATGTTTTCTTCATTTCTGTCACGTCCTTGCTCCTTCACCCGTCATCCAACCAACCTCGAGCCTCATGATCCCTCCCAAACGATGTTTCATGAAGTTGTGAGCATTTTCAAGAAAATGTTTTTTTGACCTTTGACCGCCGACCCTGACACAAACAGACAACCATACAAACTATTTTTTTTTCGTATGAACCTCCTTTCAGTCGAGGGAATAACACGATCTGATACTTTTACTAGTATAATCAATATATTGGAAATGGACAAAACCGCAATGACTGCAGTTTACTATTCTTTCGATAGAGAACTTTCAAGCTTTTCGAATCAAAGTTTCGACATTTCACTGATGACAGCCTTTGAGCAAGGACGGAACGCTCGTCGTAACTAGCTTGGAATTATTTTATAAGATTCCCCAGGTCGATCCATCCCGTACTCGGATCCAGCATTGGATTTGTTGACCTGGGCCACTCTCTCCCACACCCTGAATTTTCAACCTGATAATAGTACGCCAGGATTAGCGTATATGGTATTAAGATATTATGCTAGATGAGTAAAACAAGACGAGAAAAATCCAAAATAGAAGTTTTCTTTTTCTTTGTACTTCTATAGCCCGAACGATGAAACAATCAGGTTTTGAATAAAGCTATCAGTGATGATCTAAACAGTTCGTTATTATTATCAGTAGTGATATTTATATGGATAAGAGAACAATTCGCAATCGTCATAGATAATTATAGAATTTAACTAACTCGAACAGATCAGCAATTTACGAGCACCAACAGCAAACGAATCATAGCATCGACTGGTCCAATCGGAAGATCATTGGCAGGGATCCACATGGTTACAAATTAAAAATACGAGAATCGTTGGCCATCCAACAATACCAACCTACATTCAACAGAACTACGTCTTCAACGCCGTTGATCGTCTTTCCGGAAGCACTCAGAATTGCAAAGCCCAAGGTGAAAATCAAGTGTGTGCGCATAAAATAAACCATGACCTGAGCAGTTCTTTATAAGAACGTTCTTATAAAGAATATTTAACTGTGAATGGTCTGATCGCCAATTATGTTCAAAGATTTAAATACTTTCTGCTACATTTTCTTTTCTCTGTCTTGACAATGACTGTACTTGAATCAAAACGTCGACTTTCAATACATAAATAAATAATGTTTTTCGTTGCTGTAAAATTACTTCTCTTTATTTGATACAAAGTCTTCTTTTATGAATCAGTAATAAAAGCAACAACAACTAAATATCCGAGTCTACTCCCACTTGATTGTTCCATGCGACAATAACGTGTTGTAACTGATGAATGTACTTAACGGATCCACAATCGAATAAAATCATTTTGTTGAGTAATTATTGCATGCATATCTGTCGTCGATGATAATTGTTGTTGTAACCATGCAGAGTTTTTCTCTGTTATTCTTGATGATGGATGTCGCTTACCAGTTCGACATTGAACATTGATTGCTTGAAGGTGAGGCATTGTATTGATCAGATCAAGCATAAATGTTCGATCTGCTAGAACGAGATTCAATATTCGACATTGAATAGTTGATATAATTTTTCTAAGCATCATGCATTGTTCTCGATCGAAAGTTCCTCCATAGTAAAGCAGCTCTAATTGATAGACAGATAAATGTTGACTTTCGAACAGTTGTTGGAGAGAACTGCTCAATGTCTTCCAACTGATACGTATTGAAGTTAAACGGGGTGCTCGATCGAGTAAATCTTGTAATTGTTCTTGACAATGGTCATCATAATTATCAGAAAGTACATCGATTGAAATCAAATGATCGAGTCTTGGAACCAAACAATGAAAATAAGCGCTAACTGGTAAATCAATTGACAGATGTTCAATATGGAAAAATTGAATAGGCGACACCGATGGTAAACTATCCATACGAGGCTTATACATCAGGCTCTTTACACAACGATATGAATGTTCATTGAGTTCCAATGGATGCGTTGATTGTGAACGAATCGCTGCCACTATTTGGAATTTATCGAAAGCATACGGTAGAGTATACAAGTATCCGTAATATTTGCCTGGAATCCAATCGAATTGAACAAACCAGGAACGTTCAACAAGCCAAAAATTACTTCGATACGAGTTTAATGTTCTATCAATTTGTACCTCTTCTGATGAGTATTCAGAATCAGACATACGTCGCAACATTCGAAATTCTAATCGTTGAAGTTTTGGTAAATGATTATGAATAAGTTGTTCCCAATCTCCTCCATCCATAGATGGATATCCATAGGCGTAATCTAATTTAAAATAAATTAAATTAGGTAAATTTCTTAACATCTCCAAGAAATGACGATGCCATGTATAATTTAAATTGTATGATATTATCAATGTGGTTAGTTGCGTCATAATTGCATAGGAAGGGTTCTCTGTAACTCTATATTCATCAATTGAAAGACGTCGAAGATGTGGTGTATGTCTGTGTAATTCCGTCAGATCCACATAGCAGTATGTCACACCGATGATTGACAAACACTCCAATGTAGAAGAAGTCACTGACGTACGAATACAAATACCATTATCTCGACGATATTTATCAACAATATGATGTGATTGTCGATATTTATAATTCACTTTAAAACAAAGACAAATAAGTTGTGGTAAACTCCAAATCGAATTTCCATAAGTGAAGGCTTTTTCTAAAGTATTTTGCGATGCAAAATAACATTGTTCGAAAGTTAAATGAGTCAAATTCAATAAATATGGTAAATCTAAGATGATTGTGTCCATGATACTCTCCGATCGAATATTACTCAAAAGAAGAGAACGTAAATTCACTAATTGACGAAGTTTTAAACCATGTGAAAAAAATTCACCGATTTGTCCAGGTGTATCGTCATCATCGGACAAACAAAGTGAAGTTATTCGATCCAGCATACCTGGCAAATATTCTTGAATAATAATGTTGAAATCAAGCTTCGATATTGATCGAAAATCGAGATGAGAATTTCGAAAATATTCAAGAATAAGTTCATCGAGGCGAATATTCAGACCATGAAATGCATGATAAATATGCGATGTTGAAAGATATTTAAATACTTCAAGAAATAACTCGTTTGCTAACGATTCAAAATACATCACTGTTTTTGCGTTCTTTGTCGATATCAATATGAAAGAAAAACAAAACTACACTGTTCTTATACGCGTTGTTTGCGTAATTACTCGCTGATTCACAACGAGAAAAGCGATATGTATGCTTGACAACTCAATAAACACAAAACTTTCGCAATTACTTCTGTATCTTTAGAATATCACCGATTTTGTTCAGGAAAAAAGACTCTTGAAGTTTCATTATCTTCGATGGTTTTCCACTGGTAAATCATCAGTGGATATGAAATGTTTTTTGATTGATAATCTGGTGGATATTTAACCTCGGATTTTTTTTCAATTCATGCTTTTATAGAATTCATTGATGGCATACCTAGCTAGATTGGTTTTATAAGAATATGCGAGAAAACCAGCAAAGTCTTTTTTTTCATTATAGAAATCAGAGAAACAGGATATCTGAATACTTTCGATTTTTACGGTTGGGCGATTTGGATTTCTTTCACTTTTAAGTCCTAAAGGATTTTTTCGAGGACCAATAGATAAAGTTGTTCCACGTGTGCAACGTTCAACACTAGTGACTGAATTATTCCGAAATTCTTTTCATAGATCAACAGCAGATGCAAAACATTTACCATTAACTGAATAAGTATTGTGTCTAACATCATCCAAGATATTTGTTAATATATCGATAAAAATTGTCTCCAGGCTCAATAGTTATAATATGTTCCTCATCTATCAACGATAATGTAATTGCCTTCGACATTGAGAGAGATGGATCGTTATATACCGTTATTTATTTTGAACGAAACTCCTTCAATCTGCTTGAACGATATTTGTATTGTACCACTTGCACGCACACGTGTGAAAAAGCCAGTCGTCATACATCTGACTCATTAAAAAAAATAATAGAAAATATTTCTAACATAATGCATCTTTTCTTTTGCTTGTTCTTATCAGCTTATCAACAAAGAATCGAAAGAGTAAACGCCATTCTTCTTCTAACATTCATCTAAGTTCAGACTGATGAACATATTTTTTCTTTCTTTTCTTTCGTTCTGTTCAGCTGATATATGCACTGATGTTGTCTTTATAAGATGTCCTTTCTGAATATAAAGCAATAGTTAATTCTTCTTATCACATTTTAACAAAAGAAAAAAACTAATTTTGTAAACCTTTTAATGTGACATAGGATTATCTTATGTATGAAAAATATTTGTTTTTATTCAGAAAATAATAAATAATGAAATTTGTTAAAACATAGGACATTCTAAATTTCAGACGTATTTGAAGGGCATGGCCTTTTATTCTGAGGAAGGAGGGAGCTTATATGCGAAAATTTTTAAGAAACACTAATTTACTATAATAGATCGATAAAATCTATTTTGATCAAAAATAAAAGTAGAAACAGATGTGTCCTATTCGTCGACGTCCTAAGCGAGAAGAAGTTAGACTTCATAAACGCAGTACCTTACTGTATTTCAAAAACGATCTGGAGTAGATGAAGTCAATTTTTTTCGTCTCTGTGCTTATCTTTTAATGTAAGTAATGACATCATATTCAGGAAAAAGAGGAGCAAAATCGCGATAATTTCCAGTAACACATGTGTGTATGTACTTTGTCTTTTTGAATTTTTCTCGTAAAGTTATTGTGTTATCAATGTCAATAGTTTTTTTTTCAATCTGTCAATGAGCTATTCTGAAATTGAAACATATATACGTCTACATGGTAGCATCCCATGAAAAATTACGGCCAGCCTGAGATTCATGTAGGGTAATCATAAACAAGAAATTGAATATAGTTTTCGTGAAATAAATGTGCATCATCGTGTACGAAATTTGATTCCCAAGAAAATGATATCTTGACAAGCAAATAAGATGAATAGATAAGTGAACTTAGAAAATTTCAAATCAATTTTCATATTTTATCGCCTTTCTATGTCTACTGACACTGATAATCATGGAGTCCTAAATCTATGCCAGAGATTACAGTGATATGGAGAGTCGTATTCAGAGCCAATCTTTTGCCTTGAATTATATTCTTTTTACAACTGCATTATTTAGTCTTGTAACCACCTTTACATGAGCAGATTGTCCCATTAGAACACTACCATGAACGCATAATTTTCAAGATAAAAATAAGCGATCATTAAAGTTGCATTTTTCGACTAGTGAATTTCGTGACAACGCGAACAATATTATCAGCTATGCTTGCTGTCGAATGTTCTAGAGAGAGTTCAAAGCACTAAGAAATAGACAGAAGGTAAATGTGCATTACACTGAAGATCTCTAATTATCAATCTCCCAAGAATATGTGTCCAGTGATAATAGAACGAAAGGAATCTGTTCATGCTGTGCGTGTAAACTAGTGTCATTAAGAGCGTAACATGCTATTCACGTCATTTCCATAACATTATACAAAAGGCTGTCGCAGTGTTAGCCGAACGAAATCAAGTAAACGGAAGCTTCTTCGTTTTCGTATATAATACAAAAGTGACTTGATTTAAGTACGTGACAATAATTTAATTAAAAATAAAATTTCAATTATTACGCGTTATACTGAATAATCGATAAAGCTGCCTAGGCGAAAGGAAATAGGCGAGTTGAAGTTTACCACATGATATTATCATATTGATGGAAGTGCAAGTTATGAAAAATCCATCTAAAATACATGTACAAATAGATGTATTCTTTGTCTCATTTCATTTCACTAAATCAGCCGCCAATATCCAGCCTGACAGATAAGAATTAATAAACTATGATGGCATAGCATATTTATAATATCTTGCCGAAGAATAATGCATATCTCTGCTAGACATTATGAAGATTAAGGAATTGAATAAAATCAAAGCGACAAATTAAATACTGAATGTTATTATGTAACTATGTTTCATATTTGTACAATATATAATGTTCGCTTGATACTTATAAGCACTAGTATAATGTGTTAGATTGGTCAGTATAGAATAGACGATCGGTCACAAACCTCGATCTACTATAACCTTGCTTGTTCGAGGATAAGATANTATGTCTGTGTAATTCCGTCAGATCCACATAGCAGTATGTCACACCGATGATTGACAAACACTCCAATGTAGAAGAAGTCACTGACGTACGAATACAAATACCACTATCTCGACGATATTTATCAACAATATGATGTGATTGTCGATATTTATAATTCACTTTAAAACAAAGACAAATAAGTTGTGGTAAACTCCAAATCGAATTTCCATAAGTGAACGCTTTTTCTAAAGTATTTTGCGATGCAAAATAACATTGTTCGAAAGTCAAATGAGTCAAATTCGATAAATATGGTAAATCTAAGATGATTGTATCCATGATACTCTCCGATCGAATATTATTCAAAAGAAGAGAATGTAAATTCACTAATTGACGAAGTTTTAAACCGTGTGAAAAGAATTCATCGATTTGTCCCGGTGTATCATCATCATCGGACAGACAAAGTGAAGTTATTCGATCCAGCATACTTGGCAAATATTCTTGAACAATAATATCAAAATCAAGCTTCGATATCGATCGAAGATCGAGATGAGAATTTCGGAAATATTCAAGAATAAGTTCATCGAGACGAATATTCAGACCATGAAATGCATGATAAATATGTGATGTTGAAAGATATTTAAATACTTCAAGAAATAATTCGTTCGCTAATGATTCAAAATACATCATTACTACTGCGTTCTTTATCAACATCAATATAAAAGAAAAACAAAACAACACTGTTCTTATACGCATTGCTTGCGCAATTACTCGCTGATTCACAACGAGAAAGACGATATATATATGCTTGACAATTCAAGAAGCACAAAACTTTCGCAAGTACTTCTGTAGCTTTAGAATTTCACTGGTTTTATTATCTCAGATGACTTTGCACTGGTAAATCATCAGTGAATATGAGATATTTTTTGATTGATAAGTCTGGCGGATAACCTCGGATTTTTTTCAATTGATATTTTTATAGAATTCATTGATGGTATACCCAGTTAGATTGATTTCATGTTGACTATTCAAGATCCATCACGATAATCATCGTTTTTGACATTTTATACACTAGAATTAAACTTCAGTTTGCCTTGACACAAAGAAACTCCTGTACAAATAAATTCTTAATCAGTTTTTTTATCCAAAAATCCATTTGAATAAATTTCCATGAACGATAAATTGTTTACTCTTGGCAGCCTCGATTGCACCTCATTCTTCGGTCAAAGTATAACCCTTTTGACAGTGTGATGTACATTTTATCTAAAGTCCTGTTGATCTTTACATGCATAAACGAGAAAATCAACAAAATCTTTTCTTTCATTATAGAAATCAGAGGAACAGGATATATGAATACTTTCGATTTCTATGGTTGGTCGACATTTCTTTCACTTTTAAATTCTAAAGGATATTTTTGAAGACCAATAGATAAAGTTGTTCCACGTGTACAACGTTCAACACTGGTGACTGTATTATTCCAAAGTTCTTTTCATAGATCAACAGCAGATGCAAAACATTTACCATTAACTGAATAAGTATTTTGTCTAACATCATCCAAGATATTTGTTAATATATCGATTAAATTGTCTCCAGGTTCAATAGTTATAATATGTTCCTCCTCTGTCAACGATATTGAGAGAAATGGATGCTTATATAACTCTTTTCTATAACACTTCTAAATAAAAAAGCATTATACCGTTATTTATTTTCAATGAAACTTCTTCTATCTGCTTGAGCGATATTTGTATTATATCGCTTGCACGCACACATGTGAAAAGCTCTACGGACAACTTGACAAAAATAAATATTTTATAAGTTTTACCGATAATGTCATTGATGCCAAAGACTCGTTCGACAAACGCAAGTATGGTATTTTTAAGCATACTAAAATTCCTCTGAACGAAGGGCCAATACCCGATGGAACAGAAGTTTTTGTTACCTTTTACGATAAGCAGGATGAAGAATTATGTACAGTTACGAATTATCATTTATCACCAACAGCCTATGAGAAATCGTTTAAAGAAGCAGGCTTTGCCGAGTTCAAATGGGTGCCTTTTCAATGTGATCCTGAAACGGTCAATAAAGAATTTTATGATGATTTGATTAAATGAGCCAATGGTATTGGGATAATAGCAAAAACATAAAGACAATTACTCATTGACTACAGCTTTTACTATAGCGTATCCTCTATATGCAAAAATTTCTAATAAACATTACTTTACTATAATAGATCGATAAAATCTATTTTGATCAAAAATAAAAATTGAAACAGATGTATCCTCTTCGTCCACGTCCTAAGCGAGAAGAAGTTAGACTTCATAAACGAAGTACCTCACTGTATTTCAAAAACTATCTGGAGTAGATGAAGTCTGTTTTTTTTTCGTCCCTGTGCTTATTGTTTAATGTAAGTAACGACATCATCTTCAGGAAAAAGAGAAGCAAAACCGCGATAATTTCCAGTAACACCTGTATGTATGTACTTTGTCTTTTTGAATTTTTCTCGTAAAGTTACTGTGTTATCAATATCAATAGTTTTTTTCCAATTTGTCAATGAGCTATTCTGAAATTGAAACATATGTACGTAATTATATATGTCAGCATCCAATGAAAGATTACGATCAATCTGAGATTCACGTTGGTTAATCATAAACAAGAAATTAAATATAGTTTTCATGAAATAAATGTGCATCATTGTGTACGAAATTTGATTTCTAAGAAAACCATATCTTGACAAGCAAATAAGATGAATAGATAAGTGAACTTAGAACATTTCAAATCAATTTTCATATTTTATCTACCTAGATGTAACGACACTGATAATCATGTCGTCTTAAATCTATGCCAGACATTCCGATGATATTCAGAGCGAATCTTTTGTCTTCGACAATATTCTTTTTACAATCACGTTATTTAGTCTTGTAACCACCTTTACATAAACAGATTGCTCATTATAACACAACCATGAACACATAATTTTGAAGATACAAATAAGCAATTATTAAAGTTGCTTTTTTCGACTAGTGAATTTCATGACTACGCGAACAATATTATCAGCTATGCTTGCTGTTAAATCTTCGAGAGAGAATTCAAAGTACTACGAAATAGACAGAAGGTAAATGTGCATTACATTGAAGATCTCTAATTATCAATCTCCCAAGAATATGTGCCCAGTGATCATAGGACGAAAGAAATCTGTTCATGCTATGCGTGTAAACTAGTGTCATTAAGAGCGTAAAATGCTAATTACGTCGTTTCGATAACATTATACAAGAGGCTGTTGCAGTGTTTGCCGAGCGAAATTAAGTAAACAGAAACTTCTTCGTTTTCGTATATAATACACAAGTGACTTGATTGAAATATATGTCAATAATTTAGTTAAAAATAGAATTCCAATTACTACGCGTTATACTGAATAAACGATAAAGGCGTCTAGGCAAAATGAAATAGGCGAGTTGAAGTTTATCACATGATATTATCCTATTAATGGAAGTGCAAGTTATGAAAAATCCATCTAAAAATACATGTACAAATAGATGTATTCTTTGTCTCATTTCGTTTAACTAAATCAGACGCCAATATCCAGCCTGACAGATAAAAATTAATAAACTATAATGGCATAACATATTTATAATATCTTGCCGAAGAATAATGCATATCTCTGCTAGACATTATCAAGATTAAGGAAATCAATAAAATCAAAGCGACAGATTGAATACTGAATGTTATTATGTAACTATGTTTCATATTTGTACAGTATATAATGTTCGCTTGATACTTATAAGCACTAGTATAATGTGTTAGATTGGTCAGTATAGAATAGACGATCGGTCACAAACCTCGATCTACTATAACCTTGCTTGTTCGAGGATAAGATANATCTCTGCTAGACATTATCAAGATTAAGGAAATCAATAAAATCAAAGCGACAGATTGAATACTGAATGTTATTATGTAACTATGTTTCATATTTGTACAGTATATAATGTTCGCTTGATACTTATAAGCACTAGTATAATGTGTTAGATTGGTCAGTATAGAATAGACGATCGGTCACAAACCTCGATCTACTATAACCTTGCTTGTTCGAGGATAAGATAACGATGTTAATTCAATACAAAATTAATGAGTTCTCTCTCACAGGGTACAGAAAAACGCGAGAAACTAAGGTTACTTATTATAGAACAACGACAGTGCTTGTCTGGAAAGGATAGGTAATGACTTAAAGATTAAATGAAGCGCGTGCTCATACAAATTCAATATTAATGTTAGAAGTTCTTTTGTGATAAAAAAGCTGCATCTATTTTATAACTTATTTTTAGCATTGAAAAGCAAATTTAACAGCATTTTATCCATTTGTATCAAGATTACAGTTATAACTCACTTGAAAACTTATATCAAAAGGATTTGACAAGATTTGCAGTGATTGCCGTCAAATAATGTCCCATGCAAATAATTCATCATCACTCATTACTGAACCCTGGATCATCCCATTCGATGTCTTTACGATCGTTTGTCCCCTCTTTGTTATTCTACCAAATCTTATCTTCTTATTCATCATTCTACTTGATCGAACATGTCACACAATTCCCATGATTCTCACTGCCAACTCATGTCTAGCACAAGTTGTTTTAGGAAGCGATCTACTTATCATCAGTGGATTTACACTGTACAACGATCTCAAACAGATTCACGATCACTATTATCTTTGCACGTTTGCTGGTTACTTGACATATGTGACTTGTGCAGTGCTCAACTATTCTTTTCTCCTACAAGCATTCTATCGATATGTCACAGTTGTTTATCCAACACGTGTGTTCTGGCAAAGAAAACGAAATCAACTACTCTTCGTTGGTGTCACATGGGCATATGCACTGTTGTTTCCACTGGTCTTCGTATTTACTGGTCAGATTGTATACAACGCTGACAATCAGATATGTCAAGTACCACTCAAGCTTTCAGTTTCAATGATGTTCGCAGCACTCGGTGTTTATGTCATTCCTATTGTAATGACTGTTGTTATCTATTGGAAATTAGTTCACTATGTTCATGAAATGAATCAGCTCACAACCTCTGTGAACAGGATAACACGTGCACAACGAGAACTGAAGATGTTTCGTCGTACTGTGACGCTTTTGATGATACTATTCGTCATAGATTTTCCTTATGCACTATTTATGTTTATGTCCTTTTTCAATCGTGCACCAGAATATCATTTTCGTATTGCATATGTATTTGTTGACATTGCTTTGGCGTGTGTGACGGTTGCTTTATTCCAATTTACTGATCCATTGAAACAATCGATTAAACAAAAGCTGCATTTCTGCTTGCAAATAGCAGTGGCGTGAATAAATGGTTTGAGGGAACGTTTTTACAGTCACTTTGAACGATTGGAGTTTTGGATCAGAGGACAGCTCGAATTGATTGGTGNATATCATTTTCGTATTGCATATGTATTTGTTGACATTGCTTTGGCGTGTGTGACGGTTGCTTTATTCCAATTTACTGATCCATTGAAACAATCGATTAAACAAAAGCTGCATTTCTGCTTGCAAATAGCAGTGGCGTGAATAAATGGTTTGAGGGAACGTTTTTACAGTCACTTTGAACGATTGGAGTTTTGGATCAGAGGACAGCTCGAATTGATTGGTGGTAAACGTAGATTTCATACAAAATTGTTTTAAATTTTGTCGGGAGAAGTGACGCGAACCCTTGATTAGTGGAAAACGTACTGGAGATTATCATACATGAACGTGGTATTAAACAAAAAGATCTACCAAGATGATTAACATCTGTTAGTATATAATTCATTATTAGCATAATTACTCGATTGAGAAACGTTTGCTATTTTATGAAGCAAAAATATCCTATGACGAACTCGTTAATAATTCGCCATTTTCATAAAAGTTCATTATTAAAATATAGTATTCGTATTAAAAAAATTCCAACGGGCCAATCGATAGTCCACACCTATTTTCTTAAAAAGTTTTGCTCAGTTATATCGAGTAGCAAATCTTCTTATAAGCGCCGTCACCTTCACTCTCAATTGGAGATAAATAACGAGAATGAACCATATCTTTAATGCTGTTCTGAGTTAGCAGTTTCCCCAATAAATATATATGAGCCATTGAAAAACGTAGAGAACCGCAGACAAGAATATTTGTAACAAAATTTTTCAAATAACTACCGTCTAAACCTTTGACTTCGATCTGCTTTGATCGCAATTGTGAAAAAATAATGCTTAAAAGAAATGCAGAAGTAGTGTATAATAGCTAGTTATTGTTGAAAAAAAAGGAACATTACCGTAATACGCTGGCGCAATGATCACGATACCGAGAACATGTAACGTTTTACACAATGGTTGTATTGTCTGACAGAATAAAATGAAAGTATCGTTCGCGATTGGATCGACGAATAAGTAGAGACTACAAAAGAAGTATATTTGTTTTCATAGTGTGAGTGAAACAACGGGAGCAGCACCGAATCAATTAAGAAATCCCAATTCAATAATATTCAGCCCAAAAAGGTGCCTTGGTGATAACAGACGGAACCAATAACCGTGTCAAGCTATTCAACATAACTGTATGCTGATACAGAGCTTTATGGTTTTTTTATCATCACTGACTATACAAAGCTTGAAAATATTTTACACTTTAATCTTTTGACCAATATCGCTATGCACGTTATAAACTTTACTCGATGGTTCTCTTGGAAAAAGTATGTGTAAAACTTCTAATCTACATTTCGCTGTATTGAAGAGACACTTATTCTCTGTATTTCCGAATACTATCGCTCCCTATGAGTGAAGAAATATACGATTGAAAAGTAAACGTTGTTTTACACATACGTATATACATAATGAACAATTGCTACATACTAAAGACGGTCATCACAAAATGATTTACTCATTCTAATAACTATTCAGATCCAGCACGTCGAAATCGATATGGTATAAATAATTTCCTAAATGTCGTTTGCAACTCTTTCAAAGTCAAAACGTAAACGAAAACATCCAACGCGGAGTTCATGTATTCCAGCCATGATAATGTTCATTTCTCAAGCGACTCAAAATTACGCTACTTGATAGGAAATAAACGAAATCGGACAACCAACACAGAACAAACACGCCTATAACAAGACCAACAAGCTTCGCTGCTTTCTGATCTTTAGAAAACTTCTTCCAGAACGTGTTCATCTCAATAGCTGTATTTCCTACGGTTGGATTTCGATGCTTTCGAGAATGATATTTGTAAGCAGAACGAAGTGCTAAAACTTGCTGTCTGGCTGCGACATACACTCGAACGTAAATGTAAATCATTACAGCTAGTGGTAAATAAAACGATTGAACCGAACCGAACTGAACAGGATATAATACGGATTATTTGGAAACTCACATTCGTTATACAACGGCGTAGGTGTTATCATGGTTTCATTATTTATCGGCGATCGCTTTTAAATTAAACGTACAATGACAAATCTGACAGTAAGCATCCGGCTGATCATATGCGAGAAGTCACTTCTGCTATTCCAAAGAACGTCATAGCTGAAAAGGCAATAATAGCCGAAGTCGTCCATATGAATAACAGAACATAAAACCTTTTTTTCGATATGAATAAATTTGGATATGCAATTTGTTTCGTAATTGCCATATAGCGATCTAGTCCGATCGTGCACAGAGCAAAAATAGATGCGGTCGAGGTGAATATGTTCATTGAATAGCAATAGTCGCAGAGAAAATTTAAATGTCTTTGATATAGCCAATATTCAGCATCGGTCATCTCAAATATGAACTCGAATGGCATGACGATTAATCCTACTGGGAAATCTGGAAAAGCCAACGGTGCAATGTAACAATGCATTGACGTATGTAAAGTAGTTTTACGAATAATGGAAAGACAGCAATTGGATATGTCTGCCACTGTATATTTGTTGTTTTAACATCCATTGTTAGTGGAAACTATTCTATGTCTGTATCGTGTTAGACGAAGTAGAATCTGAACGCGACGATGATTTTTTACTTGTTTTACCTTTCAGTATGCTTCATGCACTGATGTGCTTTTCATATTCACGTGAAACAAAATACTAGAAGAGTATATGTCATTAAGACACATCTGGAGGATGCTCTTTCGACACTGAATAACATTAGGGAGGGGATTGCCAATTACGATGGTGAAATGTTTATTCGCACAGAACTGATAGATTTAAAGCATGAAGTCCTTTCCTTTGATTTTGGTTTCTTGTCAATGCGCAATGAATAAAATTGTCCTTCTAAAGAAAAAACAATTCGACTTTTATTCTTCTGAAGGCAAATCCTTTTATATGTATTTCAGAGCGCCATCACCAGCCTTCAAGACAAAGTGCACTTACTTTCAATTGTGTCAGATGGTCCTAACCAGACTTTCCGACACCATCTTCGTTCTCATTGTATAAATCGTGCGGCGGTAGATAAACATGTATTCATTTTAATAATCATCAGACCGTGATGATCCTGAGCATTTTCGCTTGCATACGGCAACAATTATGATGATGACGTTTGTCTCTCTGTAATAACGGTTAGTAATTCTAACAAAAATTTGGAATGTCAGGTTTTTCTGAAGGAAAAACTTTCATTCTTTTGCTTCTTTGTTTCACAAAGTCCTTGGGATAATTTCTTGAGGAAAGAAATATCAATGATTATAAAATGAGTTTCTCATATTAAAACCGAAAGCTAAACGTTAGGAGAGAATCGTGCTTCTCGTCTTATATTTGATTATAGGCATACCAGCCATTTTGTATAAAATGTATTTATGCGTTACTGAACTTTAGATAAAAATATTTTTGCTTCATAAAAGTACGTGTGTTCTTTTTCTTTTCAGCTTTGAAAGGCCAAGTTTTAACGCGTTCTTCCTCTTATTCCTACACAGATTAGAACTTCGATCATCTAATGATGTCCGTTATGAACTTTTTATCAAAGCAAAACTAACTGATGCGAAATCATGTCCTACTGGAACAATTCATCATCACTCATTGCTGAACCCTGGTTCATCCCATTCGATGTCTTTATGATCGTTTGTCTCGTCTTTGTTATTCTACCAAATCTTATCTTCTTATTCATCATTCTACTTGATCGAACATGTCACACAGTTCCTATGATTCTCACTGCCAACTCATGTCTAGCACAAGTTGTTTTAGGAAGCGATCTACTTATCATCAGTGGATTTACACTGTACAGCGATCTCAAACAGATTCGCGGTCACTATTTTCTTTGCACATTTGCTGGTTACTTGACATATGTGACTTGTGCAGTGCTCAACTATTCTTTTCTCCTACAAGCATTCTATCGATATGTCACAGTTGTTTATCCAACACGTGTGTTCTGGCAAAGAAAACGAAATCAACTACTCTTCGTTGGTGTCACATGGGCATATACACTGTTGTTTCCACTGATCTTCGTATTTACTGGTCAGATTGTATACAACGCTGACAATCAGATATGTCAAGTACCACTCAAGCTTTCAGTTTCAATTATATTCGTAGCACTCAGTGCTTATGTCATTCCTATTGTAATGACTGTTGTTATCTATTGGAAATTAGTTCACTATGTTCATGAAATGAATCAGCTCACAACATCTGTGAACAGGATAACACGTGCACAACGAGAACTGAAGATGTTTCGTCGTACTGTGACGCTTTTGATGATACTATTCGTCATAGATTTTCCTTATGCGTTATTCATATTGATGTCCTTTTTCAATCGTGCACCACAATGTCATTTTCGTATTGCATATGTATTTATTGACACTGCTTTGGCGTGTGTGACGGTTGCTTTATTCCAATTTACTGATCCATTGAAACAATCGATTAAAAAACATCTTCATCTGTGATGAGTAGCAGTTGTGGCACACGATGGAAATGCTTTACTGAACAGTTTTGCTCGACTTGTTTCACGGTTCTGTGAATCCTACAACTCTTGTTATCTATTAATTTTCCCCATCCTATCATTACTCATCATTATGTAATCCTATAGGTGCAAAAAGCATATTCACAAGAAAATTGTCAACGACAAATAGAATGTATGTGGCAAATACGTCATCTTCGATAGTTGACATATTTCTTTTGGCGTTGCTTTATTTGAGTTAGATTTCTTTTCAGAGTAAAGAAATCTGTCATACACATGAAATGTGATACGTTGGTGCGGCGATTTGCACTACTGTGTGTCAATTTTTTGTGATTCTTTATTTTCAAAAATTGGTTTTCTCGTCTTATATGTAATGTTAAGTTTCATTAAACATCTTATTAAATGACGGCAAATAACCTTCAAATTACACGTTTGATGATGAATCCAAGATCATCTACAATTTATAGAGTA